GGCCGTCATCTCTGTATATAAATATGCAGGTACAATCATCATCATTTGTTAGGCTTGACAAATATATTTGTACCGTCAAGCAGAACAAATGATGATGATTGTACCTCAAAATGAGTTTAAAGGGACAAATATGCCTATTTAGGGAGTTGACTTGTGTCTTGATCGTATGTAAATTGTCAGAAATACTAAAATTCTACAAATATCGCATAATTCTTTTAAAAATATCTCAGACTATGAATTTCTTTTCCTATTTCTATATACAGGGTGTTTCGAAATTAAAGCCTCCTTATCCACAGCCTACACTTAAAAAAGGTGGAGTATAGACAAAAACTAAAGTCATTCTGAACGGGTATTTATTCAAGTTCCTGTCTGGGAATCGATTATTTTCTGTGGCTTCCATCTGTGGCAAAACAGTTCAGAAGCTGTGGAAGAGAAGGCTCTAATAACAGTGTCTTAAGAAAAGACGAGTCGTCTTTTTAACTGTCAAACAGGGATAATTCTAGACACACATGGATTTGAAGGCTCAAATTTCCACTGTGAGCTGTGAACGCTATTACTTATCGGCTTAGGTAAAAGAAATTCCCGTTTATCATTTTTATCACAAAAAATGGCGTATCTATCCCTTTAAAAGGGCCAGTGTAGCGTCACGAATGTTAAAGTTATTCGAAAGAAGGTGTCAGGTTTCGTCAACCCTTATACGTCATGACGACATTACCAGCACAATTTTTCGCACAAAAAACATAATTATTTAATTTAATTATATCTTTAATATGAAATAAGTATATCGATAAATATTGTCGATCAGGTGAAACACTCGAGTTTTTATTGCTCACTAGCGCGGCTTTACCTCATTACGGTAATCTATTAAATTCGTGGAAGTGAGTCAATCGTGACTGCAACTTCTTTTAGGGTCTGTGTTAGGGAGTAAAGGTTGTAACTTGGTAGTAAGAGTGGTTATAAAAACAATATATGATTGAAAGCACAGGCTGAGATGAAAGTTCAGCTACATCGGCGTGATATTTATAAATTAATAGGATTATCAAGTTATAATAATTATTAGATAATTCTCAAATAATAATAATAGAGAATATAATATATTATGAGGACTGAAGCTCGTAGTATTCACTAACCAACAGCCATCAACTAAAGAACTTTGGAGAATATTTTTCAAAGAGATGATAACTGGGGAGAAGCATTCATTAGTCTGTCAAAAAAAAAAAAAAAAAAAAATACATGATATATTAATGTCAAAAATGGGCTATGGGTTTAAGTACTTAGGGGTAGTTTGGGGTCCTTGGTACAGACATAAATTAATTTTAAAAGTGATGAATTTTTTCCCTATAATGGCGAAATGGCTGGGGGATTTGTCGGTACTTTATTTCGTTCCTTATTTCTTGTTCAAACTAATATGGGTTGTCAAAAGAATAAAAAATAGATTTACACATTAATGAGCTCATAAAATCGAGTCAAGAGACTGAATTCAAAATCACGTGGTAAGTGGAAATTAGGTAAATTGCCCATTTTACTCTGATGACTTGTTCTAGTATAAAATTAGGAAAGCGCAACGCGAAGTTTTTATCTGCGCTATAATTTGAGATTAAAACGGCACACCCGATCATTAATTGACTATGACGAGCCAAGTCGAAAGGCGCGGTAGGGCGGTTTGAATTTAAAACCCACCCGTCTTCTAACTATTCCGAAGGTTTCAATCCAGCCTTAATGAGGCCAAACACCAACAGCTAAATCAACAGCTCCGTTTTGGTCACCCTATAGACGCAATCAGGTTGACCAATTGTATACATGGTCCTCAAGGTATATTAAGCGATTGCGATCACATTAACAACATCTATATTTCAACAATTTACATTATCATCATCATTTTATATGTTATACTGAGTTTTATTGTCAACAACGTTTCAACAATTTACATTGTCATCATCAGTTTATATAGTATGCTACTCCTGTGTCTTATTGTATACAACGTTTCAACAATTTACATTGTCATCATAATTTTATATATTATACTACTCCTGAGTTTTATTGTCAACAACGTTTTAACAATTTACATTGTCATCATCAGTTTATATGGTATACTACTCCTGAGTTTTGTTGTACACAACGTTTCAACAATTTACATTGTCATCATCAGTTTATATGGTATACTACTCCTTAGTTTTATTGTACACAATGTTTCAACAATTTACATTGTCATCATCAGTTTATATAGTATACTACTCCTTAGTTTTATTGTATACAACGTTTCAACAACTTACATTATCATCATCAGTCTGGTTCATTTCCAAATCACCCCTAGCCAATTCGCCTTCAATTTCATCCCATTATGCCCCTTCCCGATTCTCCAATTTTTTGATTTGCCACTTTCCTATTTCGCCCCATTTTACCCCCTTCCCGTTTTGCCCTTTATTACCACTTCGTTTCGTTTCCCTTTCCCATTTTTCATTGCATTTTGTTTGAAATCTCCAACTGCCCCAGTACCAAAATACACACAGGGCGGGAATTAAACTCGAAACAAGGATAATTATAATATTTTAATAGGAGGGGGCGAAATGGGAAGGGGTGAAGTAGAAAGGGGCAATTCGGAAAGTGGGCGAAATGGGAAAAGGGTAAAATAGCAAGGGGTGATATTAGAATTAAAGGGGCGAAACGGAAAAGGGGCGAAACGGAAAAGGGGCGAAAAGGGAATAGTTTAGTGGCGATTTGGAAAGGGGCGAAACGGAAAAGGGGGATATGTGAAGACACCCAGTTTATATAGTATGCTACTCCCGAGTTTTATTGTACACAACGTTTCAACAATTTACATTGTCATAATCAGTTTATATGGCATGCTACTTCCGAGTTTTATTGTACACAACGTTTCAACAATTTACATTGTCATAATCAGTTTATATGGTATACTACGCCCGATTTTTATTTACACAACGTTTCAACAATTTACATTGAGATCATCAGTTTATATAGTGTGCAACTCCTGAGTTTTATTGTACACAACGTTTCAACAATTTACATTGTCATCATCAGTTTATATGGTATACTACTCCTGAATTTTATTGTACACAACGTTTCAACAATTTACATTGTCATAATCAGTTATATGGTATACTACTCCTGATTTTATTGTACACAACGTTTCAA